GGGGGGGTGGGGGTGGACCACGCCCCCATGTGCCCCACCCCTCTTGTAGGATGAAATGGAAGGAATCGCGCGCTTGGCTGGGCTTATAATTTTCAGTATTCTCGAACCCCTTTTTATATCAAAAGAGCCATTTTGAATGTTTTGCGTGATGTTTTTCATATTGCTAAGTATTTTTTGAATATTTGAACTTTGCACAAGGAGTTAGAAAAACGACTTGACAAATGTACATTAATTGATTTCTGCATTTTCATTCATGCTTAAAATGACGTCTACAATAATCCCCCTCTTCTTTAAATGTACATGTTAACCTTTATGTTCAATGATAAGGGTTCTGTACAATTCCCCTGAGCCTGAAATTTATAAGAGTATCATTGAACGAGACTCCTGAGTTTCCTTTTTGGGGTCTTAACACTTGTGTAGATTTTGTTTTAAGAGATTCGAAAAAAATGGAAAACATAAACAAACTGAATTATATAATATTTCATAACAAAAATATTTATTTTCACAAAACTCCCTAACCCCGTTCATAAAACCCGGGTTTTAGAACTGGTTTTAATAACGATACCCTGTCTTAAGTTTTGGGCTCTGAGCCCAAAATTTAAAAGAGTATCGTTGAACGAAACTCTCGAGTTTCCTGTTTGGGGTCTTAACATTTTTGTAGATTTTGATTTAAGCGATTCAAAAATAATAGAGAACATGAAGAAACTAAATAAATTTATATTTCATTACAAAAATATTGAAATCCACGAAACTGTCTAACCCCATTCGTGAAACCCGGGTTACAAAACTGGTTTTTATAACGATACACTGTCTTAAGTTTTAGGCTCTGTACAAACTGTCTATCAGCATTCTATACTCTACCCTTTCTCCGGCTGTGTCCCGCGATAAACATGTGAACTGTGTCCCAATAAACATGTGAACTGTGTCCCGATAAACATGTGAGGTGTCCTGATAAACATGTGAGGTGTCCCGATATACATGTGAGGTGTCCCGATAAACTATTGACTGTTCAGTCAGAAAGAAAAGAATGTATGTCTCATATTTGAAGAGATAAAGGTTTTAAACCTTTATCTTTATATATCGGACATGCCACTAGTGATATGTCGTTACTTAATTCATTTTTGGGGTTTTTGAACTTTCATAACATTTCCAAACTGTATTCTGTAAAATTTTGCTTTTATTAAACTTTGCAAGTTTAAAAAATGTTCATATTTTTGTGAAACCTCTTAAAAGTCCAAAAACTAATCTAAAAAGTTTAAACAAACCAACCTGTTACCCATCAAGGGCGTATACAGAAACAATTCTAGGGGGGGCAAAATATGTGTATGCGAAGCTTAGCTATTTTATTAATTTTATTTCAAAGTTTCTGATCAAATTTAATTCTGACCAATTCATGTATATGAGGATATACCTGAAAATTTGGATGATAATATGTAGTTCCTGGCCCCTCAGCGGTCAGCACAAGGAAGTGCAGGTAGAAGGCTGCTACATAAACAAGTATAGGAACAAGAATAAGAGCGAAAGACCGTGCTAAAAAATGCGCGATAAATTGAACCGGTTTGATGTTCCTGTCCCCCAGTATGCTCCACAGCTGGTGTACAGTAGATAAACCAACATACAAAAACACAAACACACCAACATACTTAGTACTCAAAGTACTACCTGGAACAGAATTTCGATTAATAAAATGTTGATGATGAGCCCCAACCATTCTTATGGTACGACCATATATATTTTACTGTAAAAGTAATTGATATACATTTTTTTTGAAAATTTTTAATTTGCAATCTTGTTCCTGCAGAAGGGAAATCTTCAAAGAAATTATTTCAAGACACAAATCCCAAAAAAGAAAATGAAAATATATTCGAATCGATAATTCTGAAGTAGATTCATGTTTCTTATAGATAAATACTTTTACTCACCTAACATTAAACCTGTAAAAATTAACCATCCCCACCAAGATTTACTGAAACACTGTTTCTCATTTCTAAAAAAAAGGTCTACGTTGGTAAACGATAATATCAATAAAATGAAGACGACTTTTGATTTGATTTTTGATTTACATCAAGCTAGCTTTTAAACAGCATGGATACATATATAAACATCAAAACAAAGCGAAGGTGTTAGCTAAAAAGTTTCTCTTTATTTATTTGTAAACTTGTAATTTGAAAAATGTTATTAAGAACTAAAATTTAAATTATATTATATTGATATAGTTGCCTACCACCGTATAAAAATATCTGAAAAGTTCTACCGAAAAAATCTTGAAAACTTACCAAAATAAAAAGTTCTCGCCACAAACTCAATTTTCTAATTCTTATATCTTTGCAAACTGGTGGTGGAAACTGACACATGTCTATTCTTAATTACTGAACAGCCCTTATCTATTCGTATATCATGAACAGACCTAATCTATTTGTATATCATGAACAGAACAGATCAAATCTATTTGTATATCATGAACAATTCTAATCTATATGTATATCATGAACAGACCTAATCTATTTGTATATTATGAACAGACCAAATATATTTTTATATCATGAACAGGCCTAATCTATTTGTATATCATGAACAGACCTAATCTATTTGTATATCATGAACAGACCAAATCTATTTTTAAATCATGAACAGTCCTGATCTATTTGTATATCATGAACAAACAGACCAAATATATTTGTTTATCATGAACAGACCAAATATATTTGTATATCATGAACAGACCAAATATATTTGTATATCATGAACAGACCTAATATATTTGTATATCATGAACAGACCTAATCTATTTGTATATCATGAACAGACCAAATCTATTTGTATATCATAAACAGACCTAATATAAATGTATATCATGAACAGATCTTATATAAATGTATATCATAAACAGACCTAATCTATTTGTATATCATGAACAGGCCTTTTCTATTTTTATATTAAGAACAGACCAAATATATTTGTATATCATGAACAGACCAAATATATTTGTATATCATGAACAGACCTAATATAAATGTATATCATAAACAGACCTAATCTATTTGTATATCATGAACAGACCAAATCTATTTGTATATCATGAACAGACCTAATATAAATGTATATCATGAACAGATCTTATATAAATGTATATCATGAACAGACCTAATCTATTTGTATATCATGAACAGACCTAATATATTTGTATATCATGAACAGTCCTAATCTATTTGTATATCATGAACAGTCCTAATCTATACCTGAACTTGGCATCTCCCATTGCTGCACCAAAAATAAAGCAAAGAAGTATTGAATCCAGGAGAATATATCGGCACAGAACAGATAAACCTTGACAAAATAATTCAGTTTGCATTTAACCTGCTCGAGGAAAGGAGATGAACATTTAACACAACTCTGATTTTCTATTCCCTATCTTTTTAACCTGATGGAGAAAATAAGAGTTTGTGGCAAAGACTCAATTCTTTTTAGATCAAAGGGGTGGTCGCGAAGATATGGGCATCATAAAAAAAGAGTTTGAATCGAGTGTTCGATATCCTTTTCCCATACTTTCATTTTTTTAAACTTTGAAATTGCTATTTTACTTATATCACGACATATCTTTTGTATTTTTTAAATTGAAGGGGATATCAATCATTTGAACAAAGGTATTGAGTCTCTGCCTCAAATTCTTATTTGATAAAACCTGATGGGGAAAAGCTTTTATATTTCTGGCTTAGATTATTTTTTTTACAGAATTCATGGTTTGAAGTAACTGAGGTTGCAAAGATATTAAATAAGAAAAGCAAAGTGGCAAAGACTCAATTCCTTTTAGATCACAGGGGTATTGATAATAGGTCGCGAAAAAATGGGCATGATAAAATTAGAGTTTGTATCGAGTATTCGATTCCCTATCCCCCGTCTTGCATTTTTACTATATATCACCCGGTTATCTTTTGTATCTTCAAAACTGAAGGAGATATTAAACATTTTTAATAAAAAATTGATTCTTTGTCACAAACTCATTTATTCTTATTTTTGATATTTCTAATAAGATTATTTCTAACAGAATTCATGGTTTGAAATATCTAAGCTCCACGACATAGGGTTGTAAAGATAATGGGACTAGAAAATCAGAGTTATGTTAATTCTTTATTGTTTTCAATGGAATACTAGAAATTGTGTGTACCAAATGATGGCATGCGGAACAAGGACGATACAGAAGCCGTTACTAAGTGTCCATGTGCATTGGGGCACACAGTACTTAAAATTAAAAAGATGTGTTCAAGGATATTTTCTTCTCAGAAAAAAATGTAAAAAAATGAAGAGAAACTTTGTCAAAAGTTAGTTTGACTGCAGTTTAACCTGTATCGAAGGTGAGAAGGGCGGAAGCGAGCAAAGCTGCAGAGGTAGAACCAGTTTTCTCCAGGACTGTTATATACCTGGACAAACATGTTATATACCTGTACACATTTGTTATATACCTGGACAAATCTGTTATATACCTGGACAAATCTGTTATATAACTGGACAAATTTGTTATATACCTGGACAAATCTGTTATATACCTGCAGAACAAACCCATAATTAGCTGGACAAACCTGTTATATACCTGGACAAACCTGATGTATACCTGCAGGGCAAACCCATGTATAGCTAGACAAACATATTGTACACCTGGAACCCCTATATACTATATACCCCCCCCCCCTGAAAAGTCCATGTATAGTGTATACCCTCCTGCGGCTTTATAAAGATATTTTATGGATTTAGATTACTAAGAAAGCTTACAACGTAAACAAAAATATTGAAAAGATTACTTCAAAGCTAAAACTTTTTCTTTTCAATAAATCCGAGGGATTTAATAATTATAAATAGATAAGTTCTTTTATATATAGATCTATATTTTCTTTTGTTAAAGAAGGATCATTTGATCATATATAAAAGTCTTGAACTGGGAGAAATGGAACAACACCTTTTACTTTTCCAAAATAGAATATCAGCACTGAAAAATTTTTAGATGTTGTATCATGATGTCCTTCAAAATTTAATATTTGATGAAATTTCTATGAGTTTACTTTTTCAAAACTATTTGTTTTGTATTCTTTACACTTTCACTTGAACTAGAGTTTATATTTTGCACTTTCACTTGAACTAGAGTTTATATTTTGCACTTTCACTTGAACTAGAGTTTTCTAGTCATTGTCATTTCAAATATCTGCAAAAAAAATCAAATTTGAAACTTCAATTTTGTTTTAAAACTTAAGTAAAGGGTTACCCATAAAGGAACTTCAGAGACGAATTTACGGAACTAATACTGTCTGTTTCCTTATATTCACGATTTCCATGCAACTGTAAACAATTGTTTCTTTCTTTGTCAAATCACTAAAAACCCATCAGATTACTGTATCTAGGGTGGAATAATTAATTTAACCTTGAGATCCTTATATTCTAAGAGGTTCTGGTCGTCTTTACAATCTCATTCTTTTTCGGTAACTCGGTAACTCTCCCCCCTCCCCCATGACGTATACCTACCCAAAAGGTATTACTAGTGCACCCATACTGGCACATCCCATCCTCATTCTAGAGACAGTCCTTGTGTGATTTCCCAGAGAATCTCCTTTTTTTTGATAATTCATAAAATATTTATTTACAATTTTTAAATCAACTTGTATCCAATCTCAAGAAATTACATTGTATCCAAATTTAACAAAATAAAATAACTTGTATCCAAGTTTAATCAATCAACTTGTATCTAATTTTAACAAATTACATTACATCTAGTTTTAAAAAAATATTAGATTTTGTTTTAATCAAATTAAACCTAATTAATAAGAATTTAATTTTTTAGATTTCCTGGTGATTCGAATGGATGGTCAGGTTGATGGCCTGCAATATAACCAAACCCGGCATGGATCAGTTTTCCTAAAATTTAGATTTATTTTAGAATTTTTATATCGCTGTTTAAAGAGATTGTGAGAGAAGGGAACGGGGGGCGTTGGCCCCCTCGGCCCCCCCCCCCTCCTCAAAATGTTGATATATGTAGATAATTAATTTTTCTAGTTGGCAATATTATTCCGAACCTATAGAACATTTAATGCTATTATAAATTTTAATGAAGTATAAGTAAACACAAAATTCAAGTTTTCTAACCCCTATATCTTTACAACCTGATGGTGTACACTTTTGATATTTCAAACTTAATTCTTCTGACAAAATTCACAGTTTGAAGTATCAAAGGCCGGTCTACAATAGTTTTGAATGTCTTCTTCCATTTAAATGTATCAGACTTTTTGCAGTTTATTTCGTTAAAATAATGTTGTACTCAAATGAACTTTGGTATAAAAAAAACTTAGCAAATTATAGAAGTGGACATTTTAAACTATTTACCAACTGTCAAGTTTCGTGGGACACCCTGTCTGTAGTTTAGAATACGAAATCTTTTTCGGAATAAATTTGTTTGAACAATAAGTTATTTCTTCAGAATAACTAAACACACTGTACACCTGCTGCAACTTGAAAGAAAAGAAAAATCAGAAGGAAGAGAAACTAAGTATACAATTCTTGAGAAACCAACATCAAGCAAGAATACTTTATTAGAACGACTCCACCGTAAACCAGGGTGAGTAAAAAAAACGGGATCAGCGATGTTTTCAACATTTTTGCTTGCTGCGAATATAAGGTATATACAAAAATAAAATGTGACCAAAAAAATATTTTATAACTATTTTTGTAACATTGAAAAGAAATCCGCGAGACCAATTTTTAAAAAATTAAATTTCTTTCAAAAATTGACGGAATATGTTTTTTCTATTGTTTTCCATAATTTCATGAAAATTCATCAATAATTGAAAGAGATATCACAAAAAATCCTCACCAAATTTACAATTTTTTTTTAAATATTGATGAACTTTTGTATAATTTCTTATTAAGAACCTCTTTTTAACGTATTCTAAGCCATGGTTATCGGTTAACATTATCTCAGTAAATAGTAATGAGACGTAATGCCAGATTTCTACTTTAATTTCTGTCATATCTCTTTTCAATTATATATGAATTTTTAAGAAATTTAAGAAACATGCATCATAATAAACATTTTTCAATCGATTTTATAGGAAATTTAATTTTTCAAAAACATTTCGCAGATCTTGTTATTGTTCTAAAAAAAATTTTTGAGATTTTTTTCTCACAGTTTAATGTTCTTGCCTCAAAAATCCGAAGCAAACAAAAATTTTGAAAACTTTGTGCAAAACTTTTTTTCTTCTCACCCTGTCAAGGGGGGGGGGGCAGAGAATTTTTTTATGCACTATTATTTGCAATTATAATCGCAGAAGACTAAAAAAAATGTTAAGTAACCTGAAGTAACCTTTGGAAAAAATATTATCATTGTGTCCTTTTAATTATTTCCTGAAAATTTTAAAAAAGCTCAACAAGAATCTGAAAAATTGCAAAATGTTAACATTTTAAATTTTTTAGTTGTTACAAATTTTTGCAGAGGCTTTTAAAAGTAAAAAATATTTAGTTAAAATTCTTACCTAAGGGAGGGTGCACGTCAAAGAAATAAGTCCTGTAGAGAATAAACATTATTTGAAAAAAAAAACATTATCAGAAATCATCTTAAGATAAAACTTTTAACCATTTAAATCATATTTAAAGCATTAAAATAATATAGACTTTAAATTTGCAGGGTGTCATTAACAATTCTTAACGGTATCCCAAAAATTATCGAAGAATCGATGACGAAGATATCTTTGTTTTTCTCTTTAAAAATTCGGAAATTGCAGGAGGTGGACTACAAAAGAAAAATATTCTAACGTTTAAGCCGATACTGATATCTGATATGGCACACAATATAAAATAGAGAGATCATATAAACTGACATTTATTTTTTAATCAAATTTGTTCTTCTCTTCCTGTTCAAGTAATAACTGGCGAACTTCCCGAAATGCGCTTCATCCCAGGAAACTACATCCGGTACATCTGGTCCAAATCAAACCAAACTTTAATAAACCTTTTTTTATTATTATAATTATCTTTCTTTCAGTTTGAAATCATGAGCTTCTGTAATATTTAAAGTATAGGTGACTCATGCTAAAAACCTCCCCCAGCCTCACACCTTTATCTCTTTGTTCTTTTAATGAATGCAGAGTAGTTAACCTGAACTGATTCATTAAGATTCAACAGTGCACCCCAGATCCTTGAATAGAACAGACGTATGAGCCAAGCTCCGTTTGTTCAACCAAGGCTGGGGGACGGGCACTTCATGGACAGCTCTCAGAAGGCTTACAACATGTGGACTTATATGATTATATCTTACATGATCATATCTTCATGAATACAATAAACCATTGACGAGACAGATATCTCAGGTTACAACAGATCAGAGGAATAATTCATTGATGAGAAAGATATCTCAGGTTTACAGTAGAATCAGAGATATGTGGTTCCACCTCAACACAGCTAGTCCAACTACCCACACACTCTAATACTCAAGATGTTCTATGGTTAGATCCCGTTC